GACTATTCGACGAAATGCCAACGTCGCTAGGTCGTTAGAAGGCTTTCGATTCTCTCTTTTGCTTACTGCTTCACGGATACTGCGTTTTTATGAATTTGAACTTTAATGAACTCGCTAGGTTCGGTCCTGTAGACTTCAGGCTCATTAATTCCAATTTCATGANTCGACTAACCTTAATTGAAAATTGGTCTCATTGTTTGCTAGCATGCAAACCGTCGCCCCCCTGTCTGGACGTTGAGGGTTTCTGGATGAGATAAAGGATGCTTTTCTCCACTTCTCCCCTCTACAATGCAACATTCATCATGGTAATTGAAGTCCTTCTAGGATGCGAAGAAAAGCGCTTTTGCCCAGATTGCAACTGCTTCCCCTCGCTGCTTTGCATTACGATTTCGTATTCGTCCTTTCAGCCTCCAGAGCTAGTGGAAAGAGCACCCATTTCAGCTTTTCTAGGACGGAATCCCAAAAAGAGGTTCTTCTGGTTCCCTTTTGTATGGAAATTGCAGTTACTGCTTGTCCCAGGCTTTAGTTGCAGAGGAGGAGAATAGTGCAGAGGCTGTTACGGGGGTCGAATGACCTAAAATAAGGAACGTTTTGTCTTTTCGTCCCCAGAAGCAGACATCGTGAGTTCTGAAGAAGACCCTCGTAGAGATCTGCAAAGCTCATTTGTTCCAGCAGCTGACGTCTGCAATATTTCTCGGTCTTCGCAGAGAACCTATCTGATTCACTTCACTTTTTGCCCACTATGTGCTTCTGTTCACTCGAAACCCAAATTACCTCGCGTTTCTTCAACGGAAACGACCACATTCTACCGTCATGGTCCATGAAACGCCTAAATAATAGTCACATGGGAGAATTGTTTTTGGGTATTGACGAATACGGTCGTCCATGATGAAGTGAATGAGATAGAAAATGAGCATAAGCAATAAAGTCGGTAGATGAGAATCTTCTCGCGGATGTTGTTTTTCCATCTTTGCCTCTAGCTATTCTTCATTTTTACGACCTGGAGAAAGCTCCAATTTGGGAAACTGGACCACTTTCGGAGCCCCAGGCTACATTCATCCAATTTGGTACCCCCAGAACGGCTCATCAAACATTTCATCGCTGCATTTGCAAAGCCTCATCGGGCTTTGTTGTCT